ATACATGGAGCTGTAATACCTTTTTCCCCACTTCCCATTTTTCAGCAGATATAATAGCTGAAGGAAAAGCAACAAACCCTTTTGAAATACTGTAAACTGCTTTTTCATTATCACTGATGCTGCAATTCTAAGTATGGTATGTCACATGACATACTCAAGAGTCAAGGCAAACATGTCCTTGAGACGCTGTCTGGCTGGGATATCTTCTTTTTCACTGCATTCACCTTTACACAAAATTTCAACTGAACCTCCTTAAGAAGGAAAATCTTTTTTTTTCCCCAATACTGGTTATCCTAAAAGCATAACAAAAAAAAATAATAGCAAAAATGCTTTCTAAATGCAGCAGTTGCTAGCTAGCAGTTAATTCAATAACTATTAATAATTAAATGATTAATTTAAATATTTGCTATAATTTATGCATCATTCATAACTACACCATAATTTACCATTCCAATGTGCAAGTACACATTTTCCTAAATGACTGAAAATACAGCATAGCCTTATTATTTACTGCTTTGAATGATACATGCTAATTTGGGATTAAGCATTCTTTGACCAAGTGACAAAATTAGTGGATCAGAGGAATGCTGTGGACATAATTTACTTGGACTTCAGTAAGGCATTTGATAAAGTAGATCACAACCTACTACTTGACAAGATAGAAAAATGTGGGGTAGACAGAACCACCACCAGATGGATCCGTAGCTGGCTGACCGGCCGTACTCAGCGAGTGGTCCTCAATGGAACTGCATCTATATGGAGGGAAGTGTGTAGTGGGGTGCCCCAGGGCTCTGTTCTGGGCCCAGTACTCTTCAACATCTTCATCAACGATTTGGATGAAGGGATAGATGGGGAACTCATCAAATTTGCAGATGACACCAAGCTGGCAGGAATAGCCAACACTCCAGAAGACAGGCTTCAGGTACAGAAGGATCTGGACAGACTTGAACACTGGGCACTAACTAACAAAATGAAATTCAATGGTGAAAAAAGCAAGGTTCTACATTTAGGCAAGAAAAACCAAATGCACAAGTACAGCATAGGTGGCACCATGCTCAATAGTAGTAACTGTGAGAGGGACCTCGGAGTCCTAGTAGACAATCACTTAAATATGAGCCAGCAGTGTGCTGCAGCTGCCAAAAAGGCCAACACAGTGCTAGGCTGCATTAACAGAGGGATAGAATCAAGATCACGTGAAGTATTAATACCACTCTTCAATGCCTTGGTAAGGCCACACTTGGAATACTGCATCCAGTTTTGGTCACCACGATGTAAAAAAGATGTTGAGACTCTAGAAAGAGTACAGAGAAGAGCAACAAAGATGATTAGGGGACTGGAGGCTAAAACATATAAGGAACGGTTGCTAGAATTGGGTATGTCTAGTTTAACGAAGAGAAGGACAAGGGGGGACATGATAGCAGTATTCCAATATCTCAGGGGCTGCCATAAAGAAGAGGGAATTAAGCTATTTTCCAAAGCACCTGAAGGCAGGACAAGAAGCAACGGGTGGAAACTAATCAAGGAGAGAAGCAACCTAGAACTAAGGAGAAACTTCCTGACAGTGAGAACAATTAATCAGTGGAACAGCTTGCCTCCAGAAGCAGTAAATGCTCCAACACTGGAAGTTTTTAAGAAGAGACTGGACAGCCATTTGTCCGAAATGGTGTAGGGTTTCCTGCCCGAGCAGGGGGTTGGACTAGATGACCTCCAAGGTCCCTTCCAACTTTACTATTATTATTATTATTAAGTAAGAAGCACCAATGTACACCATGTATACAAAAGTAATATGTATTTTGTCAATGCCAGCTGACCTGTGCAGGGCACGGGGGTTTTTGAGGGGATGGGAAAATACTAGATTTTGTTTACTTGAAAGCCAAGCATTAGCATTTGTGTAGAGAAAGATCCTACTAACAACATTTCGGCTCTCTAAATGTTCATTAATAAAAGGACAAGAATGAATATAAATTATGGGGTCCTTGGGCTTCCTGATCTTGGTTGTTTTCTTGCACACGTTTTATTACAAAACTAGGTAACATCATCAGTGTAGCACTGATGGTGTTATCTAATTTGGTAATGAAACGTCTGTAAGAAAACAACTAAGCTCAGAGAGCACCAGGGACCCCACAATTCAACCCTGGACTACAAATATTCTCTTCTATGAGTATAAATTACCTGATTCTTTATGTCTTTGCAGGAATCTTAGTAACTATCAATACTTGCTTTCTATCCTCAACTCAAGAACAAGGATATGAACTTTAGTGGTTAATGCCAGAGACAAGGAAAGTGCTGGAATTGTGGGATTCTAAAATCAAGTGCAGTCGAATACATAGTACAGCTCGCTATTTCTTAAAAACTCAGTGTATTTAAAGTATTAGCTAATTCTGCAGGGCAGAAACCTGAAAAATACAAAAAAAAGAGGGTTCAGTTAGTTGAATTATTTCTCTATGACATGTAGTTACCAAGATACTACCAATTTGAAGACAAGGACTGCACATACTAAATGTGAGGGGAAAGTCCCTACTTCCTTTATTTTTTCAATCAGACTTTTTTTTCCTTCTGTTCAATCGTGTCTGATTCTTAAGAGTCTGCCTGACGTGTCCCTGAAATTTTCTTGCTAAAGATTTCAGAGTGGTTTGCTATTGCCTCCATACTAAGTCTGAGAGAAAGTGATTGGCCCAAGGTCACCCAGCTGGCTTTGCGCCTAAGGCAGAACTATAACTCCAGTACCTTGGCTTCCAGCCTGGTGCCTTAAGCATTACACCAAGCAGGCTTTCTATGGCAACGTAATATAAATACTCTACAGAACTCGGCAGAAGGAAAAGCCAAATTATGACACATATATACAGATAAATAGTGCCTGTTTGGGAGGACAGAAAAGAGACCTTACATATTTCCTTCGTGGCTTTATGCAGAATAGTCTGTCCCAGTCTGTCTCTGAATTTTATTCTTTTAAGAATTTGGCTCAGATATGCCAACAAGGCAGAAACAAGAGTAAGTTGCCAAATGTTATTTCTTAGGCTATTTGTTATATGAATTGCTTGGCAGGGACTTTTATTTGGCCACCTGTAAAAGATGAATTACCCAGCAGCAGATGAGTGTAAATGCCAGCGGGGCAGAGTCTGTCCTTTAATGGAGGCTGCAACCAGTGAATACACTAAGCAGAGCTTGCATTTGTTCACTTTCACTGTGATTTGCTGTTGTTATTGTTGTTGTTCATACTGAAGGATGTAAGACCACCACTTGGGCTATATTTCCTTAAGAGAATTCATCAAAGATAGTTAGCTACCTGAGTCGTAAATTAATCCTGTCTGTTCCTTCTATGCATGGCACTTTTTGATTTCCAATCCAGCACATTCCCTATGCCTAACAAGCAAATGGATATGCTTTTTCAATAACCTGTGTCTTTAATTCTTAACTGTTTTCCACTGGTCACTATTCACAGTTGAACTGACTGGCTCCAAAGTAGGAGAAACTGGGAAAGGGAGCAAGGCGAGTCCCTAGGGTGATATCCAGATTGCCACTGTGCCCTCAGACATCTCTTCCTTTGCTCCTTGGCATTTTAAAAAGAATAATGTTTTTAAAGGGAAGTTGGCAGCAAGATATTGCAAAGGAAAGAGTTGGGGGTCCAACATCATTTTTATTTCCAAGTATGCCTACAGAGACCATGTTTTCTTTGAAAAAATTAAAGGCAAACTTGAAAAGGAGACAAATCTGAAGGAGTTTTGTAAGGATAAAAAAAATTAAATTGTTTATATTTCTAACTTTGCCTTACAAAGGAAAATTCAAGTGCAAAACGAAGAAAAACCTCATAAAAATTCATATTATAATAAATATAGCTAAAATCAAACAGAATATACCTATTGGTTTTAAGAAGACAATTCAATTTCCATATTTTTTTATCTGGACGTGAAAGACTATGCATTAAGTGGAACCATTTGTGTGGTAAAAGTTAAATGACCAAATTAAGGGACAAAAATGAGTTTTTGAAAAATAAATAAATTTAAAGCATAGCTTTCAGGAAAGCAAAGACTTTCCTTTATAATAAAGAACATATAATCACTGTGAGCATGTCCAGAATAGGCCTCAAAAACTTTCTAATGTGTCCTTTTTATAATTTGTAATGATTGTTTTTTCTCTCTTTCTTTCTTCTTTTTCTTTTTTATATATATACATTTTTAATGCATTATTATTCATATATATTTTTTTTTTATATATATATATATGCTTTATTCTTCGTCTACTTTCTTCTTTCTTCTTTCTCTCTCTCTCTTCTCTTTTTATTTTTTTTTTATTTTTTAGTATATATTATTCATTTTAAAGTTTATGTTATGTATATTATTATTATATATATTATTACTGTGATTTTTATTATTATTATTAATTATTTTATAAGTTGCAAATGTTATTTTTAAAATATTTGTTAAATAATCCTATATTCAGTTCTGGGAAGTCGGGGGGGGTGGGGTGGTTGGGGAGGGGGGGGTGGATTTTTATTTGTAAAACTTTTGAAAAATTTCAATAAAAAAAAAAAAAAAACTTTCTAATGTGTCTGAAGGGGTTGAAGAGAGTGACTGATAACATTCTAGCACAGGGGTGGGAAACATGGCCCTTTTATGACTTGTGGACTTCAACTCCCAGAATTCCTAAGACAGACATGCTGGCTGAAGTCCGCGAGTCATAAAAGGGCCATGGTCCCCCACCTGTTCTAGCAAATCAATGCTTGGGGCAACCATTCTGGAAATGAGCAAGCCTCTTCCCCCAGCAGCCATTTTGCAAGAGTGCCACAATATGTTCCCAAGTTCCAGATGTGTCCATCGGGCCCAAAGAATGCGCTTATTACACTCATGGAAAGATGCAATGTGACAATGCTGCAGGTTATGCTCTTCTCTTCTGGCTTACTCTTACTCTTCTCTTCTGGCTTACTCAAGGCTAGGAGAGCCCACTGGCCTCCAGAGGAAGTGTCAGACTCCTATCCTAACCCTACTTTTTCTCCTCCACAGGTTTTTACCCGCTACGGAAAGTGCTACACCTTCAATTCTGGCCAGTCTGACAAGCCACCCCTGGTCACCATGAAGGGGGGCACCGGCAATGGTTTGGAGATCATGCTGGACATTCAACAGGACGAATACCTTCCAGTCTGGGGAGAGACAGGTAAAAGCGCTCCCTCCTTTCCTATCCCTGCATCAGTTTCTCATTTCTCCTCATGACAGAATCCCTCATGCATCGGTCTGCACTACCCATCCCTAGACAGCCTCAGTTCGCCAAACCTCCCCCTCCCCTCCTCCCAAGTCTCCCTCCACTCAATCATCTCCTAGACTTGCACAACCTCCTGGCATCCTCTTCTTGCCTTTCCACACCTGTTACCTTACTCAGCCTCCCCCTCTTCGCTCCTGTCCTGCTCACCATAGCAACCAGCTTAGCAAGGCCAAACAGGTAGCAGCTTCTTATCCAGAAATAACATTTTGTTCTGTTAAGGGAAAAATGTGTTTTTCAAACTGCAGGAGCTGGTGAAGCCAGAGTCCCTAATCAAAGGTCATCAAGAGGCTACCTGGAAAGCATGTTTGCATTCCTAGCTGGCTTTCAATTTCTAGGGAGAGGAAGAGGGAGGGAGGGAGGGAGGGAGGGAGGGAGGGAGGGAGAGAGATTGAGATTGATTGAGAGAGAGAGAGAGAGAGAGAGAGAGAGAGAGAGAGAGAGAGAGAGAGAGAGAGAGAGAGTAGTGGGGAGGAAGGCTGGCTTCTGTGAGTCTTTGGGTATTTTGATTCTGGTCAATCACCGTCCTAAAACTGCTGCATAATAGATCAAGGATTAGGACGGGGAACAGCATGTTGCCAGAAACATCTCTTTTGGTATTTACCAGCTACGCCTTTCTGCTCGATTTTAATGTTTTATCGCATCTTTTAGTTTAAAGAAATACATGGAAAGCTGGTGTGCTGCAAAGGGAACGCTCAATTTCTAGATCATCTTTATTCATTAGAAGGCCTCTGGGCTTCCTTAGACAATGAAAACAGGAGGGGGATTGTAGCCCAGTGTTTCACTGGAAAGAGTGCCCAGCTGCTCAGAAAAAAAAACAAAACAAAGGGTAAGTCTAGACCAGGGGTAGGCAACCTTGGCTCTTTTATGACTCGTGGACTTCAACTCCTAGAATTCCTGTGCCAGCACAGCTGGCTCAGAATTCTGGGAGTTGAAGTCCACGAGTCATAAAAGAGCCAAGGTTGCCTACCCCTGGTCTAGAGCAAAATTCAGACTGCAAGTTCATCCATTTGCAGTCTGAATTTTGATTGTCTGCAATTGATTTCATCTATCCTGGCAGCCATTTTGTGACAACACCCAAAAGAGGCTCCCCAAAGGCACTCACTGGCCCAGAAAGGTTGTTAATCCCTAACACAAGGGGGAAATTATGGCAGGTGTGTGTTGAGAGGAGGATAGCCCTGTAACCTCAGCATCATGCTTCTCCTTGATGAATAGACACATCTCTTGACGTTCCTTGGGATTGGAGGGTGTCCGAATGAAAGAAAGAGCCCATCTCACTTGCTCTTGCCATGCTTTCTGTTTCTCCATGCCACAGATGAGACATCCTTTGAAGCTGGGATTAAAGTGCAGATCCACAGCCAGGATGAGCCGCCCTTCATTGACCAGCTGGGATTTGGAGTGGCACCTGGCTTCCAGACGTTTGTGTCCTGCCAAGAGCAGCGGGTCAGTTGAAGACACATTTACTCTATTTAAAAAGTCTTCTTGTAGCCATACTAAAGTGCAGGAATGGTTTTATGATTAAGGGCCTGGGCTAGGAGCAGGAGCACCTGGGTTCATACCCATCCTCAGCCATGGAAGACTCACTGAACGATTTCTCAGCACAACCTACCTCACAAGATACGTTTATTGAATAAAACATGTTTTATTCATATTTTATCATGAGTAAAAATTGAAGGTGGTATTATGTACGCTGCCTTGAGTTTCTGGAAGAAAAGCAAGATAATGGGTGAATGTAAATTGATGCCGGGGTGGGGGGGGAGAGAAACAGAAGTGTCTTGCAATGTTTTTTCTTCCGGTCTCCTTTGAAAAGAATGGCTTAGAACAGGGGTCCTCAACCTTGGCAACTTGAAGACCTGTGGACTTTAACTCCCAGAATTCCTCAGCCAGCAAAGTTGCCAAAGTTGAGGACTCCTGGCTTAGATTGAAACATCCCTGGAATCTCATCAAGGAACCAGGCTGAGTTCAAATGGCTAAGCAAGGATAGGCAACCTTGGCTCTTTTATGACTTGTGGACTTCAACTCCCAGAATTCCTGAGCCAACTCAGGAATTCTGGGAGTTAAAGTCCACGAGTCATAAAAGAGCCAAGGTTGCCTACCCCTGGGCTAGTGCTACTGAGTAAGGCGCAGTGACTTTTAGAGTTGTGTCCTTGTCTACACAGGGATATCTAGTAGTAGTATTATTTTATGTGTTTATTGCTACCTTATTTCATTTGTAAACTCTACTGAATCTATATATATATGATGTTATCATTAGAGGCAAATAGAGCTTTTCTTTTTGTCTTAGGAAAGATTAAAGAGATATTGACCTTCTCATTCTATCCTCTGTTGTTCAGCTTATCTATCTTCCTTCACCTTGGGGTGAATGCAAGTCAGTGACAGTGGAGTCTGAATTCTATGACACCTATAGCATCACTGCTTGCCGCATAGATTGTGAAACCCGCTACTTGGTAGAGAACTGCAACTGTCGTATGGTGCATATGCCTGGTAAGAAGGAAGGACTGATCTGAAGGGAAGCTAAGGACCAGAGTCCATAGCAGTTGTAAAAATACAGAAAAATCATCTTCTTAAAAGGAATTATTGAGCCCTTTACAAGATGAGGATTTCTCTGCTGATGTATGGAGCACATTCCATCATGTAAACACTATTTTGATAGGGTTTCCTGCCTGAGCAGGGAGTTGGACTCGATGACCTCCAAGATCCCTTCCAACTTTATTATTATTATTAAATGGTGGGCTAACATGTCACATTTACTTGTATAACAATAGATTGCCTGTGTTAATACCTGCAGAGCCCAAGGTTAGCTGGATTAGATATCTTTTTTAGGGTGGTCTCTAGAATGAATCAGGAATGTAGAGAACAATTACATGACTGTAATAAATGTAATAATATTCCTCAGTTGGACTCATCTCCCAGTTTTGCATTCTCCAGAATCACTGTTCTGAATTCAAAATAGTAATGAAATAAGGTCGAGCCCCTTGAAGTTAAGATTCAGTTTGAAACATGAGATGGGGATGGGAAATGAATATTGACAGTTAAGTGTAGTCATATTGGAGATACCAGTACATCAGTAGAGAGGGGTCAAGCAGATGCTGTGCTGAAACTCTGCATAGGCTAGGAATCCTCTGCCCAGCTTCAGTCCAATTCTTAACCAAGTCAGCTGACTGCTGATAGTGCTGGACAGCTCCTCTTGAAGACCGAAGTGGAGTGAGCTATTGCTAACTCTCAAATACCCAGCAAACACCACAGTCCAGAATTACAACCCTGTCAACCGTTTCAGTTTAATAAGCAAGCAGGAAATGAAAATCAGGTTGAGTCATAAAGCACAAGATTTATAGTGTAGATAAGGGGTGTCAAACTCGCAACGTCATGTGACGTGTCTCAACGTTTCATGACTTCTTTTCCATTGCTGGCCATGGGGTGGGCGCAGTTTCAGCATGACGCATCCAGCCCGTGGGCCGGCAGTTTGACACCCCTGGTGCAGAAGGTCCCAGTTCCTCAGTTGGAAAAAAGGAGTCCCTGCAGATTTTACTCTGCTAGCCGTTGCTGACTATAGGGGGCAATGCTCATCCCAAGGCCACTGACTGTCCGAAGATGTTTCCGCAGTCATGTGACCAGCATGATGTTGCAGAGCGCTGTTTCTTCCCAACCGAAGTGGTACCTATTTATCTACTCACATTTGCATGCTTTCAAACTGCTAGATGGGCAGGAGCTGGGCGAAGATGGGAGCTCACCCTGTTGCATGATGCTTGGGTCTCAAACCCAGGCTGTTGGCTTTCCAGCTGACAAGCCCAGTGTCTTAACCTCTAGCCATAGCACTACCCAACACTCAACTGGGCCTCCAGTTTAAAATTTTTCAGGTAGCAGCAGTAGGATTACTGTTGCAATCAAAAACAATATTGCATCGAGGTGTCAAACTGGCAGCCTGCAGGCCGAATGCATCACGTGCAGGGCACGCCTACCCCAGCTCCACAAAAAAGTTGCGATACATCATGATACATTATATGATGTGATCGAGTTTGATACCCCTGCACTAGATGAACCAATATAAGAATGTGCTATATGTTAATCTGCATAATATATTCAGCTGTGGAATTAATTGTTGTAGGTTTTCAATTCCTTAGATGATTATGATGGTGATGATGATACATATACCATCTTTCCTCTTATATTGGGAACCAAGGGCAATGTACAAAAGAATATGAAACAATCTTCTGTTGCTGCTTCTAAGCCATTTTACTGCATTATCTTCTTCATATGAGAAAAGCTAGCAAATCAGTATCGTATACCTGATTTCATAACATCTAATAAACAGTCCAATTTGTTGCATGATGACATAATTAAGCTCAAATTGAACCACCTACAAGTGAAAAAAAAATGTTGAAGTCATGTGAACATTCCTAAAAAAAGCAGAAATAAATCATATCGTTACATGGGTTAGCTTTTTTCAAATTGTCGATTTCCACATAATTCATCACAATTTCCACCATGTCCTCACAAAATAATATGCTAATTCATATGATAATATGTAGTCTACCTAGTCTGTGCTATGCACCTAAATAGCTCTAGCTTCATAGAAGTAGGGTTGTGCAATAATCTATATTCAGAATGCTATTTTCTCAAAACATGAATATTTTCATTTATTTTCGAAGAAACTACCAACATTGCCCCAAAGCAATGGAAGTAAGGTCTTTTTTACAGTTTCTGAAAATATTCTTTAAAAGTGCTTCTTATTGTGTTTCATCTCTAATTATGACTTTTCCTAATTGAGGCACTCCCATTCTCTAGTTCTAAGGCATGCTTTAACAGATCCCAGGGCTCTTTCAGCCACTCCACCTTGATCTGTACAGAGTCTGTCTTGTTAATGAGAATACCTCTTCCAAATATGTAATTAGCATAATCATAACAAGGAAGTGAATTAATTATTTCACTCAGCTGCATCTCATAGGGAGGAGTAGGCAGAATAGCATAGACAAACGATGAGAAAATGAGAGAAGAGTATTTTTCAGATTACATTTCAAACCTGACAGAAATTGATATGGTATCATTATTTTGGATAGATGATAGACAAGTAAGGACGTGGATCAATCAATGCAGAGATTTGAATTCAGTTTTGCTTGTATAATGCAACACTGTATTCAGATTTAGTGTAGATTTTGTCTAAAAGGGTTACCTTGAGATGCAGAGAAAATACAGCCACTGACAATATCTTCATTAACTTTACCATTTTTAATTGGATACATTGTTTGCATAATGTATTAAAACAACATTTGCTCTCTATGGAAAATTAAGGACCAGTTTCTATAACTAGAGCAGCTCAGCTCTAAAACTTTCCCTCGATCATTTTAAGTAGGATACCTAGTATTAGAATACATCCCCTAAGAAGGAAAATGTGTTCCTTTTTCAAAGTGTGAGGATGGAAAGCACTAAGATTAGATTTTCTTCTGCTTGAGGTTTTTTTTTTTTTCTATATCTAGAATTTAGGAAACGGGAATAATGACACTACAGGTAGACCTCGCTTAATAATCTCACTGTTTAGTGATTGTTGAAAGTTACGACAGTGTTGAAAAAGTAGCTTTACGACCAGCCCTTTGTACTTAGGACTGTCGCAATGCCTCTACAGTCCTGTGATCGAGATTTCTGCACTTTGCAATTAGCAGGTGTTTACAACTGTTGCAGAGTTCTGTGTTCACGTGATCACTGTCTGCATGCTTAACAGTTGGCTTCCAACAAGCAAAGTCAACTGAGAAGTCAACAGTAAAATCGTAAGATGTGGTCATGTGATGTCTTGCTTAACAACCACATCACTTAGCAACAGAATTGCTGGTCCCAATTGTGTTTGTTAATCAAGAGCTACCAGTAAAGGGTTTTCTCTTATTTCTAGTTATAATACAGAATCTGGAACATAGAAAGTTCATAGAGAAGGGGATCTGGCAAATAATTTCTCCACTGCGTGGATATTCCAGATATAAAAGCAACAGAAGACACTGTAAGGCTCATTGTCACATTAAAGGAAGGTTCGTAGCCCAGTAATAATAGAAGACCTGCTTTGCGCACAGAACGGTCCAGGTTTAATCGTTGGGGCTGAAAAAAAATGATACATGAAAAAAAATGGCGTGTCAATGAGTGGCAGTTCTCTCATTTCCTACTGTGAATTCCTAGGGCAGGGTTAATTTCAACTAGTAAATATATTTCAGCTTTAAATATGTTCCACAAAGAAAGATGGAGAGGCAGCATTTCTAGAAATAAATATAGCAACAAAATCAAGATAGTTCCAAATATACATTCTCTTCCTTTTTATTCAAGTGTTTATGTATTATAGGTGTTAGACCTCTCATAAAATCCATTTCTGTAAGTGTTGTACTGGCCCTTTAAACTATGGTGCTGACCTAATAAAAATCAACAGTAATTCCAGACTTACCAAATCATACATTGAAAAACTCCAACAGCATAATATAATACAAGGACAGTCATTAAAACCTAAGTATTATCTACCAAAAGGGGAAAAATTGACTTGGTTCCTCACCAAAAGGTGATGATAGAAATATACGGTTTATGTTTATACACACATACACTTTTTCGCTCACCCAATATATCTGTCCATATCATAACTTGTATGTAGATGTGCATATATTTAAGAATGTACATATAACCTGCCATACACCACACTCCAAACAGAATAGAATAGAATGCCAGTAGAATACCAAGATAAAATAACCTTCAGCTCTTTGAGCTCCTTAACACAAGACAAGATATAAAACAAGTGAAGATTTAAACTAAATAACTTAAATTGTTTGACTCTAAAATAAGACACCCTGTTTGTAAAATTATTTGATTCCCTCAATCATTTGCACCTTTCAGACATGCTTGTAAAAACTTTCCTCCCTCTTTCCAACAGAAGGAAAGCAGGATGGAGAAGGGTGAGGGGAGAGATTTGTTGCACTGAGAAGAAAAGGAACAAGAATGTGGAGAACAATGAGAGAGAGAGAGAGAGAGAGAGAGAGAGAGAGAGAGAGAGAGAGATCCTATTTAGATATTAAGCGTGGAAATTCAGCAAGAATGAACTCTGCCTTAAATAACTGCTCACATCAAAGCATAACATCACTTCATGTTGTTTTGTAGGTGATGCTCCCTACTGCACCCCTGAGCAGTACAAAGAATGTGCAGATCCTGCCCTTGGTAAGGACCAATAAGCATCACCTCTCGAGTCTCTTAAAATGACATATTATGAACTGTTTTGGTATTTTGTTATTTGAAACCATTGTGACTTCTCCCTCCCTTTGGGATCTCCAGACTTCTTAGTGGAGCGAGACAATAATTATTGTGTATGTAAGATGCCTTGCAACGTCACTCGCTATGGTAAAGAGCTGTCCATGGTGAAGATCCCCAGCAAGGCCTCAGCCAAGTATTTGGCCAAGAAATACAACAAGAGTGAACAGTACATTGGGTGAGTTTTTTTTTTCCCCTGGCTGAGTTTTGTCCAACCCATCTATTACCATGTTTTTCTGCACTTCCCCTTCCTGTCCTCACTAACTGGCCAAAACAGAAACAATTAAGACACCAGCATCCACCATCAGGGCAAATCTGTAAGTATTGTAGAGATAGCCCAGAGATTTAGAACTGAGGGACAGCGCTGGAGAGAGGCAAATAAGGAAAGACCAGATAAGACAGCCATGCAATGAAGAAGGTACTGTTTCGCCCTTCCTTCACATTAAAAACAATTTTCTTAGAAAGTGGAAGTACTCCAGGAGAACATTTCTTCCTTTCCCAGCTGGTGAACAGGTATTTGAGTACTCATATTATGTCCAGTTTTACCCCTCCCTAGATCAGGAATCCCTGTGCTCAATCATTCAAGCTCTGGTCATCACACACCTGGACTACTGCAATGCGCTTTACATGAGGCTACCCTTGAGGAGCATTCAGAACTACGACTGGTGCAGAGTATGGCAGCGTGGGCAATCTTCAAGGCTCCTAGAGTGAGCCATATTATACCCATGAGGTGCCCTGATTGCCAGTCTGGTTCCAGGTGTAATTCAAGATGTCGGTGATCACTTTTAAAGCCTGCATGGCATGGGTCCAGATTATCTGAGGAACTGTCTTACCCCAGTGGGACTGGCCCGCTTTACCCATGCTGGCAGAGGGAGCATGCTGCAAACCTCGTTGGTTAAGGAATTCTGGCTGGCGGGGTCCAGGAGAAGAGCCTTCTCTTCTGTGGCTCCTGCCCTTTGGAACATTTTGTCCTGCAAGGTGACAACCTTCCACAAAAAATGAAGATCTGGCTCTGCCAGATGGCTTGGTGCCCCATTGGGGGAGGATCACACTGGAGTGGTTGATGAACCAATAGAAGATTCCACCTCCCCCCCCTGCACAACTTGCCCCCCTCCTCATCTTTAATTATAATTGTATTTTTATTGTTATTAGTAATATTTTCTCATGGTTTTATTGTTTTTAATGTTGTGAGCCACCAGAGTTGCCATCTTCGCTTATAATTTCATTTTATTGTTATTAGTAATATTTCTCCTGGTTTTATTGTTTTTAATATTGGAGGGAGGGAGGGAGAAAATGATTGATAGAAAGTTAGATAGGGTTCCCGTCTCTTTTTGGGGTCAGTCCTGTTCTTCTACATATCCTGTGATGATTTCACAAAAAGCTATAACCATCACTTGTGTCTTTAAGTCTATACATGCAAGTGTGTGTGTCTGTTCTCACTTCTGCAGCAATGGATGCTTGTATTTCTGAGTTGGTCACTAGTCAAAACTCCAAACCTGGGCATAGGGTCTAGTTACAGGATTTTTTGGTGGGCAGATTTCAAAGTTTGGCTCCCTTTCACTTCCCTTCATCGTATGCAGGGAGAACATCCTGGTTCTGGACATCTTCTTTGAGGCTTTGAACTATGAAACTATCGAGCAGAAGAAAGCATATGAAGTAGCTGGACTGCTGGGTGAGATCACTTTTTTTCTGACTGCTAGTTGGAGCAGATCCTATAGATGCCAGACTTCCAGGGCAGGGGTGACCTTCGGGGCTAACTTCAATGTAATGCAACATCTTCATGTTCCCCCTTTCCCCTCAATGTGGGTTGGCACAACTGGGGATTACCCAGAGAGGGAAATTATTCTACTTAAGGAGCATGCCAAGATTAGGGATTGGGATGCATCTAAAGACCTGACATATGTCTTCCTGTCTCTCCCATGCAGGTGACATTGGGGGACAGATGGGGCTGTTTATTGGGGCCAGTTTACTGACTGTGCTTGAGCTTTTTGACTATGCCTATGAGGTGAGTTTTGGTCACTGTTTAACATGAGGGAAAGGAACAAAACTTATGGCTTATAAGAAGGTATCCAGTAAACATATGCTATAATTCAGTTCTGAAGCAAACTTTTAAGTTCTCTTCAATAAGAAAAAAATTTTAAGTTTTAACAATAAACTGAGTCAATAGGAAAGTGATTCTTCATCACACTTCACTGAAATACACCATTTTCAAAACTTCACTTCTGTGTAGGGGTCACCTACCTAAAGCTCATTCCAATGTGGTAATTAGGGTTACAGCTCAATCATATGGAATTTTATTCACTGACATACTGTGTGTACATAGGAATTCTAAATAACCCCAATTAATAGTTCCCAATGATGAATATTTCCTCTTGTTCAATCTCTAGGTTATTAAGTTCCACCTTTGTCGCCGTGACAAGTGTGAGAAGAAACACAAAGGGAATAACAGTGACAAGGGTGTTGCCCTGAGCCTGGATGATGTGAAGCGCCATGTAAGTGTCTACACCTCATAACGTAGTACATTCCCTTGTCGTCTGCCAAGTGGATGGCCTGGCTACACTCTCTAGGATCACTGAGTTTGTATCATTTTAATTGTGCTAAGCTCTCTCAACCAATAAAGAATCTACAGTTTAGTAAAGCAGTTGAGATTTCTGTTTTAGGAATCCTGACCATTACTATTGCCCTCTGGCAGAATTCCACTTCCCATAATCCCATACAACAGGGAATCCAATTCTAGTTATTTATATCTACAATATTAATTAAATATTAGGTTACATTTGCTATGCCCCTAACTTTCAGGAAAAATAACCTTACAATAAATTCAGTAAATAACCAGAAGCCATTTAAAAGTTCAATTATCAATTCAGCTATTCTACATCTGTCCATGCTGCCTTGAGGTGGCTTATCGTGGCTAAGGATTTCCGCCCACCATTATCTACTGAGCCCCTTTTTACCCAATCACTTTGAAAGCTAACAACAAACATACATCTAGCATGTACTTATTTTTGCAGGACAAATCTAAGAGCTAGTATAAGATGCCAAAAATACAACAGTTGAGGGGTTTATATTCGAGCTGTGTTGCTACCCCTGACAGAAGAGCCAGATTGTTACAGCTTTATAAAGGCTCAAGAGGTTGGAGCCATGTGGACCTCAAGGGGAATGCGGTTCTACAGGGTAAATGCAGCTACCAAGAAGGCAGATTTCCTGGGTCCTACAAGATGCTGCTGCTGTGGGAGTATCCAAAGCCTTTATTCCCTTTATCTATACAATTTGAGGCAGGCTACTAATATGGTTCCATGGCCATTTACATCAGCCTCCTCTAAGAATGGACTACCACAACCTCTCCTATCATGTGCACTGCAAGAGTTGAAGCCTTTTCGCAATGTCAGATTTCTAACTATGTGATGTAAAAATCCTGTCATTCTGCCCTCCTGACTAGCGCCAGCATCCAACAAACTGTGCCAAGTGGTACAAAAAAATTCCAATTAGGGAACATTAACATGATTCCTAGTTCATGTTGGAGCACTGGTAGAGACAGGAAGCTATCTGCAGCAAAGTATCTTATCTTCTTGAGCTGCTTTAATGAAACAAGACCAATCTCTCAAAGTCTTCTGTGACAGATGATGAGGAATGCCTAGGGAGATGTCTTTATTCCAAGTCTGATTACTTTCCAGAAGTTTAGCTCTTTTTTTCAGTTCCCACACCATCTCCCCCTCCATGCCACAGAGTCTAGACCTAGGGTCCCATTTATCAATGTTTCTTGTTTACCATGCAACTTTCATGTCCATTCTGTTTATGTTCCTTTTTGCTTTTCCTCTCCACCTTTCCAGAATCCATGTGAGAATATCCGAGGCCATCCAGCAGGCATGACATACGCAGCCAACATCCTACCTCACCACCCAGCCCGAGGAACTTTTGAGGATTTTACCTGTTAACTGACAACTGGATGTACAACTAACACTACCAAAGGGAAGGGGCCATGCTGAGCAGCTTTGGCCCAGCCCAGCCCGTGGACCTGCCAACCTTTTGCAGGGCCTCTATCTCAGACAACTGGGGAGGCAGTAGAATCCAGCCTCTCCTCATCCATCCGCCCCAGGCCAATGCAGCGATACGCACATGGAGCCAGCTGGACAGAGGTGAGGCTTAGCTGCCAGATCCGTTCCAGTTTCTGCTCGTTCCAATGACACCCTTGAACTTTAAATATAACAGAAGTGCTGCTGGAAGAACACACCCCCCCCCGCGCGCAGTATTCAATGGAGGTGAGGGCACAGCCTTCTCCAGTCCACAATCACTGAAGTCTTAACTATGTGTCTCTCCTTCTGTATCTGTCATGCTCCCTAACCACAGCAAGCCTTGTGTGGCAGTGGTCATTGTGTGCAAAGCCCCGCCCCTCTCTCTTTTAACCCGAATGCCAAGAAGAATCTACAGGAACAGATAGAGCCAGACTGTTTCTGTGGCATTCTCTTTGTAGAGGCTACTTATCTATCCAAGGAAGTGCTGCTTCAGTTCTCTTCCCTTCCCCTTCTGACTGTGCACTGTGGGAGGCCAGTGGTCATAGCCTTCCCTGGAGCAAGACTGCGATTGAACTGGGAGAGCCACTTCCATAGGATGTGCCATCATCTGCTCATCTCATCCAACTGGCAGCTTCTCATTTGACCTGGCCTGGACTCTGCTCTTCTTTGAGCCCTTGCCTATTCCATCCATCACCTCAGCCCTCCATGAGAAAGGCAGGTAGCAAAGCTGTTCCAAAGGTTACAACGTTCGCATGATGAGCTGCCTGGGCCCCTTCTGTGCATGTTATTAAGAAAGATGTGACAATTCTTAAAGTAGTGAGGTTCCGAGACAAGCCTACCATTTCACAGAATTTTCCATATTGTACAAAAGAGATTTTCCAAAGAAGTCATGCTTCGGGGTCTGTAGCTACCAATAAGAGAAGAAAGCAATGCGCCTGTCTCTTAATTTGAGCTTCCCTCTTTATTTCCCATGGTAACATGGCAACATCTAGGATATTCCTGCAGGCAAAAATAATGCACCAACATTACTTTGGCTGGCAGAAGCTTAGCGCTTGCTTTAGCAAGAAAGAACAGAAGGGATCTTGAGGGCAATGATAAGGGTAGCTTGGTTTAGTACAATGTGGAAATGATATTGCCCCTTAGTCTTTAAGGGCAGAAATAGTCCCTTATCACTTTCAGCCAAGATTTCATAGGTAAGGCTTAAGATACCATTCTGAGACAGAGGGTCTCCAGGCAAAATGCATACTAATGATGCAAGGCATTTCCTTATTATACATCATCAGCATACTGCAAAACAAAGGAACAGTTATGGGAAGACGTTTCACTGGAATAAATTGTCAAGTCAGGCTCCCTGTTTTCTCCTATGTTATAGCAGTCACTATTACATCCCAGTCACAGTCAACTAGTTGGTTTTTCAGCCATCTAGCCATGATACCAATAGTCAAGCCAAGATGAATGGTTTGCATTGGCAAGGAGCATTTGCAGACTGGGAATGATGGTGGACATTCTAGCAAAGCCACGGGTCAGGGAGGGTGGCATGAGCTTCCTTTTTGTAGCCATCGCTTTTGTCTTGTCTTACGTCTCCTATACAACCGGTCCATAGTGCCTGATACTTCTCCACCTGAGAAAGGCAGAGACATCAGAATGGAGGTTTGATTTCCGCCCCCCCCCCAATTCCTGAATAGGCATCATTTCAACTCATATTAAGAAGAGCCTGGATGTGTGGTCCTGTGATGGTAGGTCCCGCAGCCTACTCAAAAGACTGACATCACCATCAGTGAAGGCTTGTCTTAACATTTCCTTCTCCAAAAATGAACTAATATGACCTTGTCTTGTAAGTGTTCCATTTACTGCATTCCAAGCCAACTTGGTGAAAAGCCTTTCAGAATTTTATCATAGGTTACAGTTCGATAAGAACGGGAGCCAGAAACAGCAGTGTGTCTTCCTCACTTTTAACATTTAAAATTTGCTTCCGGTAGCAATGTAGTTAATATACTTTCTTCTCCACTGTTGCTAATTCAGCCACTCTCCAAGGAGCCCAAATCAACAGAGCTGTCCAAACTGCGATAAACACCCACTGGTATCTGGACAGGCTAGGTTTGGGGAGAAATCTTTTTTAAAAAAAAAATCAGAAGAGCCTGGATTATCTGGGCTCATTTGTACTGATGCATGTTCAGTCTTGCTAAATAGTAGGAGATAGGGTCTATACTTTGTGCTTTATGAGCTTACAAGTATAAAGAGAAATGGGAAGCAAATGGCCTTTTGATTACATTAAGGGAATTAATTCCAAGGACTAAGGAAGAAATAAACATCAGTGTATTTCCAGGTGTCCATTCACAACAAACACCAAAGGATCTTGATGGTACTTGGACTTCCCACCCTCTACGTCAGGGGTTCTCAACCTTGGCAACTTTAAGACTTGTGGACTTCAACTCCCAGAATTCCTCAGCCAGCTTCTAAAGTTGCCAAGGTTGAGAACCCCTGCTCTACGTCATATAAACAATCTGTATTTAAACTGCCTCTAACACTCAAAGCTGCCAGATGGGGAGAAGCCCATGGTTACTGGGTTGTTGTTGTTGTTGTTGTTTTCACTTTTAGAGGAACTCATTCCCCTTTCAGCCTAGGTCACACACATAGTATCTAGTGCCTGCCCCAGTCTTTGGCACATCCAGCCTCCTTTTCTTAATATTAATTTAGACCTGCTTCATGTGCAGCACCTGGGGCCAAAGTTCTCCTTGTCTTTAAGAGCCTTTGCAATGCAATTGTTCTTTTTTTTAAGCTTTACTTTACTTGGATCCTGATCATTCCAGAATTGAATGTATTTGTTCATTGGGTGGGCTGTTGTGTAACAGATTTCCCAAAGACATTATAATCTGCCACGGCCAATTTTTTCCCCCATAAAACTTTCTAAAGTGTGCTTTGTTTATTCTGCAGGTTTTATTGGTTTCGTTGTATTTTATTGCTTGAAAACTTTTGAAGATAGGGCTTACATTTTGACCTTCTGTCTCCCATTTGTCTATCCATTTTTACTATTTCATGCTCATATTATATTTCTTATATATAAAATATGATTATATACAGTATATACATATATATATACATACATACAGACACGTGTGTGTATATGTATATATACATACATATACACAGTCACATACCCACATATATATGTCATGTCTATGTATATATCCATTCAGTAGCATCAAAAGCCTTGATATTGTGCCATTATAACTTTTTTCCAAATTACCAATCTCTGAATGCCTTCAAATGTATAAAATGTTGAATTCTCTCTGGTATATGTACTATGTACACATTTTCATAGGAAGCACAAGAAGAAGAAAAACGCATTGTATATCAAAACTTGCTCCTCTAACAATGATATAAAGGACAAAACCAATTCCTGGAGACTCAGCCTTTTCCTCTTTCACTTTTCTGCAATCTTTTTTCCTTCCTTCCTTCCTTCCTTCCTTCCTTCCTTCCTTCCTTCCTTCCTTCCTTCCTTCCTTCCTTCTTTTTTTCATGTTTTGATATCTTCCAACATAGGAACATCTAGAAGAGAGATGAAAAAGTCAAGATGGCCCCAGCAACTGTGCAATCAAATCCCTGTCCCCTTTTTTGTGTACCACATACAACATAACTAAACAAGACAGGGCTCTCTCTGATTGTACAGTTGTGGCTGAAACTGTGATTTCTCCACCCCAGCAGATAACTCTGCTGTGACAGCACCATACTAATATAAAGTGATGAGATCAACAAGCATCAACAAGCAAAACCAAAATAATAGCAGTTTTTTTAAGGCAACAATTTCGGTCAAAATATGTAATGCTGAAACTTTTCAGCAGCAAAGCAGAATAGCCTTGATTCAAATGGTACTAGGTAAGTTTTTCAAAAAAACTCTGATTAGTTTATGTACCATGCTCAACTACTTTAACCATGTTTACTGAATACATCAGAGTTCATGCAACACAAACATTAATCATATTTTACAAACTAGAAACCATAATGGCTGTTCTCACAAAATGTAAAGCACAATAATGCTTAGTGTAATGTAGGAACATTGTCTCTCACTATGTGTATTTGTATGTGTGTGGATGCGTGAATAGATTTCAGCGTATAATATGTGGAATTACTTTAATTACATCTGAACAATGGCACCTCCATCTATAAATGTTGTCAGTCAGAACAAAAGAGTTATTTGAAAATGCTTAGTCACCCATTACTATTTTAAATTCAGAGTCCCTGCTCACAGAATTACAAACACATAAACTGCAAAACTCCATTGATGCATTGAGCTAGTTTCCTTTTTATAAGCATCATCTTAGAGAAGATGGCAGAATATTAAAAAAAAATGAACCACAGATATATTTAAGAAAACATTAGTCACTTTTAAGAACAATTGTGCAAGTCATCAGCAAAACCTTTGAAACACAAATTAACCATTACATTTTAGCTTAATGTGTTGGGCAAATCCAACCCAAATTATTAATTTAACATTCAGGATATGATGTTTATCAGAAAACTACAATAAGTAAATGATGATAACTTTATGTATGTCACGTGCATACAACCATAAGACTACATATTAGCAATACCAATACTGATTAGTACCAATTTATGGGAACATTAATGGAAGGAGATCATTTCACCTGCATCTTGAACACTTCATGGTGTCATCTGTCATTCTGGAAAACAAAATGCTGTCCTGAATAAATCTGATTCAACATAGATTTTTGTTATGTACCCTGTCGTTTTCAAGTTGACGCTAATGTCATCCTTTTAGGAGACAGCTGTATTTTTTTATATCACTACAGTACTGTAAGTGAAAAATCTGTATGTTGCTGGCATAGCACACATCCTCATAAAAACACATTTAGACTGCCCAGCAATGGCAATCACCATTTATATATCAACTGATATCATTAATGACTTTACTTTGTGCTCTGAATCCTCACTGCAATTTGCCACTCAGAATTAATTGTCCCACTTAGTAGCATAGAACACACACAGGATAAGATCAGAACAGGGGGAGCTTTCCTTAACCTAATGCCATCTGCAGTTAATGAGCTATGCAGGCTGAGAATCTTAGGATTTGTTTTTCTCAACTTTTATAACTTGAATAGTGAAAAGGATATAATAAATAGCACCTCATAAGTTTCTTGAAATTCCTCCAATTTTAATATCTTGCCTGCAACAGCTAAAACCAGATAATCTTGAGTCTCCTGCCAATCTGAACTATTTGATGATGAGCTACATTTAACTCAGGACATCTCATGTTATTAGTGGTGTTCCTTGTGATCTTTTCCACAAAGAGTTTTCAGAACCATGACTCAGATTTGGTCTGATGCCCCAAACAAACGCACTATTCTTACCATCTTTGGAGGCTGATTATGTAAACTGTTAGACCCTAGAGTTACAAATGGACAATGAGGTGGTCTCATTTGCTAATACTAAAATTTTGATAAGGCATGTCCTCAACACCTAGTGATTCTAGGTCAATTTTTTACCTTTTTCATGCATAAGCTGTTAATTCAAATTGCACCTTTTTCTCTTCGCCAGTTATTAAGATGCTTCTACATTTGCTTAAAAGTTTGCTTTTTCTGATCCTTGACTAAGAAAATGCAGGTCTGGGGTTCCTTGTTTTTCATATTCCTCAAGATATTCAGCTACAAATTTGCTGGTTTTTTTTTTCCCTCTATCCTGCTTATGGTCTTTATATTATATGCTTATGCTGTTACACTTCGGGCCATCATTTTCAAAGCACTGATTCCTACTTTTCACCAGCTGCATGTTTGAGCAAAATAAAATAACCTAACAGTGTTGTCCTATGGTACACAGTTGAATGGAGAAAATATTTTACTAATAAACAGTCTGAGGACAGTGAAAATAACTGATCTCTAGATGTTGTAGTTTGCCCACAACTTACCCCAGGCATTGGCCACACTAGCTGGGGTTGATGGAAACTAAACTCCAAAAACATCTAGAGTGCCATATATATTCTACTTCTGCAGATAAAGGCTGTGGAAATCACAATCAAGTGTGATATTAAGAGAAGTTATTGCTCTAGAGCAGTGGTTCCCAACCTTTTCTATACCCCGCATCCATAGAACGCTTCTGATATATTCTCGCACCCCTTATAAAAGTTTGAAATAATAGCAATGAATTATGCATATACACTATAATTTTGAAAACCCAAGTTTTTGCACCCCCTGGAATATCATCTCGCACCCCTGGTTGGGAACCCCTGCTCTAGAGCTAACATATAATAGGCATTAAGAGAAGCCACTGTTCCTTCTATTCAATCTATGAGGCTGAAAGGCATTTTCATCGTTTCTTTCCAAGTCTGTGTAATTACTTTTGCAATTTAAACATGGAATGAGATAAAAAAAAAAAAACTAAACCTGCAATCCTATGAACTCTTGTTTGGCTTAAATTCTAACCCCTTAATTAACAGTGAACTTTCATCTGAATAGATATGCATAAAGTCTTATTTCACATGAACTAAAAATGGTAATTTCCAGGCAAAATTATGCTATCCAGATTTTAAATCAATACTATACTTTGGAAGGAGTATATAAACATTGCCTTACTAAAAAGCCAACCCAAGAGCTAAATCTGATAATCCCATATGATCCTACTCTGCATTCAAACCGTCTCTAATCCTGGATCAGCTTTAGTCTGTGCTAAAGCAGAGTGAACTAAGAGGCAATTTTGCATGCCCAGGATATTCTTACCTTTGTAGGTTTGGGAAAATATGAGTCCTGATTCAACTAAAGATTTTAGCAAAAAAAAAAAAAAAGAGAGAGAGACACAAATAAATAAATTGCAGTACTTTTGCCTGATGGTGGTCCACATGACAACTACAGTGCTAATCAAGAAACTTACAGAATGGAAATCACAAGGTTAAAATCAACACATTCTTTTTAATGTGTTTAGCCAATCTGTGTCATTGTAATCATTATTTCAGGGGAGCTTACATTCAAGCACAATATACACAATCATAAAATAACAATTCCTACATTATGCCATTACAAATCAGCATATGTACTCCATATAGCATCTAAAGCAGCATCACCATAAAACTTTTTTGGGGGAAATAAAATAATGGTCTTTAAAGCCCATGGAAGTTTTAAATTGATGGGTTCACACATAGACATTCCAGATGAAGTTGTGCTGTAGGGCAGATACATAATGAGAAGCCTATTTCTCATGTTCCAACCTGATCTCTCTCTCTCTCTCTCTCTCTCTCTCTCTCTCTCTCTCTCTCACACACACACACACACACACACACACACACACACACACACACGGCTTTTCAACCAATGGTACAGGTACCACCTGTGGTACATTGGCACCTGGCAGGTGGTACGCGACCATCCTAGAAAAGTGGTAGCAGGGGAGGGAAATAAGCTGAACTGGTGGTAGCACCACACAAGCCTGAACGAGAGATGGCTGGAGCTGCAGAGCTGTTGCTTTTTCGGGGCTGTCAGGGCTCAGTGGAAGCGCCAGGATCAGTGCCAGGCTCCAGCTGGAGCTCGGCGCTGATCCTGGTGCTTCTGCTGAGCCCTGAAGAAGCACCAATCAGCTGGAAAGCAGCACTGATCCTGGCCCTTCTGCTGAGCCCAGAAGAAGAGTCGATCAGCTAGAATGTTGCAGCATCTCCAGGGTCTTGTGATTTACATTCAGATGCTTGGCAACTGATTCATATTTATGATGGTCACAGTGTCCCAGGGTCATGTGAAGTGACCAAAACCTGCTGCAACCACCCAGCAGATGGGGGAAATAAAAACCAAACACCCCCCCACCCCATCCCCACTGCCAATCCTCAACAGAAATGCTCACAACAATGGAAATCTCAGACAGGAGGAACAGCACCACCGAGTGGGCAGGCAAGTGTCTTGCTCGGCTGTGGCTTGGGGGGGGGCACTTTTTTCAGTGCCATTGTAACTTCGTACAGTCACTAAGCGAACTGTTGCAAGTTGACTACCTGTACTTTATTACTTCCCCCCCCCTTTTTTTTTTTTTTGGTCATCAAGTTTTTGACATCTTGCTAGGTGACTGGTGATAGTCGGATGTTGCCATATTCTAAAAGTGGTACAATGGGTATAAAGGTTGAAAAGCCCTGCTCTAACACACACACACACACATACACACACAATCAGTACACCTGCCATCAGGGCCTCAAAAGTTCTCCTGGAAGCATTGGCAAATTCATACAGCAGATGTGTGCACATACAGTGTCCCTCCCAAAGATCCAAATGCCTTTCTAGAGATGTGGGCTGGAAAACAAATGCTGCAGGCAGGTTTAGCAGTTTCAAAGTAGCACATTTGCCTTTCATTTTGTTCCAGAAAACTGACAAACAGCCATTTCAAAGGTTTCTTTACTGGCTTCAACAGGTAGGAGAGAGAAGAGGAAGCAGCTAATTGTAGAAAAATGATACAAGTATTTTTATTTATAGCCTCTACCTGCCCGGAGTGAATGATATTGTCACAGAGAGGACGTGAAGCCAAAGATGGCTTTTCAAGTATATTAGGTATGTGCATTGTCTTAATCTTGGCTTCTCCATAGTCATCCTTGATTATCTGCTGGAAAGCAATTTGTTCCACGTTCTAGTTCCCATTTCAATTCCAGTCATAAATGCCTAAGCTAAACATTCCTGATACATGTGTGGCATTTTTATGAAGAAGTCACTGAAATAAGAAGAAAACTGCCAAGCGCAAATACTGCAGCCAACTATGCTATGAAGATGATAAGTTCAAATGCTTATAAAGGCTACAAAAACTGAGACAAATTTGCTAATTCATACTTATTTGCAAAGAAAAAATGTGCCAGAAAATTCACATCTTTACTGCACACTATATCCCTTTTACATGGCCTCTATTTACGTGCATTTCCAACCTGAAATGGGAGCCTAAGTTTATCCTATTATTATCCCATTCACGTTTTACAAAATATGAGAAAAGAGAGGAAGGAAAGGGAAACTGAAGCAAAAATAAGAAGGAGAAAAATCTATCAGTGTATCAGTTAGGCATACTTGATTTACCGGTAGTTGCAGTAACAAAGTAGAAGCTAAGGTGATTGGGGCAAAGCTCCTCAGATGAAATGGTTAAATCATTACATAATCAAGATTAACAAAAAAAAAACTTTTTTAACTTAACCACAAATTCTGTTGCTCCAGAACTCAACAATCTCTTCTACAGCTCAACATTCCCTAATCCAGGGCTTTTCAACCTTTTCACCCATTGTACCACTTTAGTATATGGCAACATCTGAGTACCACCAGTCGCCTATCAAGGTGTCAAAAACTTGATGACCCCCCCCCAAAAAAGGAAAAAAGTGATAAAGTACAGGTAGTCGACTTACAACAGTTCGCTTAGTGACTGCACAGGTTATAATGGCACTGAAAAAAGTGCTCCCCAAGCCACAGCCGAGCAAGACACCTGCCTACCCACTCGACGGCGCTCTTCCTCCTGTCTGAGGTTTCCATTGTTGTGAGCATTTCTGTTGAGGATTGGCAGCGGGGATGGGGTGGGGGGGGTGTTCGATTTTTATTCCCCCCCATCTGCTGGGTGGTTGCAGCAGGTTTTGGTCACTTCACATGACCCTAGAACACTGTGACCATCAAAAATATGAATCAGTTGCCAAGCATCTGAATGTAAATCACAAGATCCTGGAGATGCTGCAACATTCCAGATGATCGGTGCTTCTTCTGGACTCAGCAGAAGGGCCAGGATCAGTGCTGCTTTCCAGCTGATTGGTGCTTCTTCAGGGCTCAGTAGAAGCACCAGAATCAGTGCCGAGTTCCAGCTGGAGCCTGGCACTGATCCTGGCGCTTCCACTGAGCCCTGACAGCCCCGAAGAAGCGACAGCTCTGCAGCTCCAGCCATCTCTCGCTTAGGCTTGTGCGGTGCTGCCACCAGTTCAGCTTATTCCCCTCCCCTGCTACCACTTTTCTAGGATGGTCGCGTACCACCTGCCAGGTGCCAATGTACCACAGGTGGTACCCGTACCACTGGTTGAAAAGTCCTGCCCTAATCAAGTGCCTTCCGAATACGTTGGAGTACCATTCCCATCAATCTCAATCAAAGCAATAAGTGTTAAGAGAAACTTGCTGCAACTCATCTGGATAGGAAAGATGTAAATATATGTACCCAAATAGTGATGGTAGTCTCCCTAAACTGCCTTTGGCAGATGACAAGAACAAGCAGATATTTAACAAAAGAAATGCTCTAAGCTAGAATGCAGTGGGACAGGCATGTGGCAAGAAAAAGGTGGAAATAAAACTGAACAGTCACAAAAGAACTACATTACAGCAAGACCCAATCACATGTATTTTTTGTAAACAGGACAAGCAACAGAGGATGCAAGGATCCTGAGTTTGTTACCCATGTATATTTTCTGTTCATGCATTTTAGGCTCACTGAAAGTAAGTCACAAAGCGAATTGCCATCTGTACACATTTCAGTAAAAATATAGATGCAACCCAGTGTTTGCCTTGTAAATGTGGCCTGTCACCGAAGATAATATCTTAGTGTTTGAGAGTATTCTGGCAGAGAAGACTACAATGAGAGAGAGAATGGCAAGTCTTCTGGTATGTGTGTGTGAATGTATCATGGCGGGTTTTTTTGTTTGAGCACTCTTGGTATGTCTAATATGTTCAGTGTGCCAAAAAGAATGGGGATTTCCAATGGGCATTATCTGGATTACTAGGATCTGTAAATCAATCCAAATTAAAGAACACAACTACTCATATCAACTGCTATCCAAACTGACAGTTGGATAGTATTTTTATTGAAAACTATCCCCCAAAGCACACAACCTTTCAAGTTTTCCAAAGCTCTTCATCAAGCAAAGAACCAAAAAGTTGGAGATTATTGAGATGTCTTAAATTTAGGCCTTAGTTTGTGGCCATGAAGTCTGTTTTGGAATTCAGATTAAAAGAATCTGGCAGCTGTACACACATCTTGAAGCAAAATGGTAAATTTCATGAAGCATGTTATATAGGTAGTCTCAACTTACAAGTTCATTTAGTGACCGTTCAAAGTTACAACAGCACTGAAAAAGTGATGTATGACCATTTTTCACACTTATGACCCTTGCATGTCTATGATCATGTGATCAATGCCTATGATCATGTGATCAAAATTTAGATGCTTGGCAACTGACTCACATTTATAACCATTGCAGTGTCCTGGGGTTCTGTGATCACCTTTTACGACTTTCTGGCGAACAAAGTCAATGGGAAAGCCAGATTCTTAACAATTGTGTTATTAATTTAATAACTGCAGTGATTCATTTAACAATTGTGGTAAGAAAGGTCATAAAATGAGGCCAAATTCACTTAACAAATGTCTCACTTAGCAACAAAAAATTGGCTCAGTTGTGGTCGTAAGCCAAGGACTACCTGTACAGTGTTTTTACTAGAAAGTTTGTCTCAACATACTTTTTAAAATAAAAGGAACCCCACTGAAATGCGAGGGCATACACTAGTAGTTTCAAAACAACTTTTGCCTCTGCAATACCAAAATTATCTTTCGATTTTAGCTTGTTACTGAATCCCTATTGTAATACATCACGTAAACTGGTTTTTTTTTTTACTTTTGGCACTGCAGTATTCAGACTTTCTAAAACTGATTCCATGTTAATAGCAGCAGATCACTAGAGTTTTAGTGAATAATCCCCACACAAGATCCTGGGAATTAATGGATCCATCACGCGGGGACCGGCTTGCTCACCTGCCTCAATGGCAGAACGTTTCTTCGCTGGATTTAATTTAACTAAGTTAAACCGGTTCCCAAAATCTGTAGTTTTAGCCATACACTCCAGCAGTGGAACTGAGACTCTCTGAACTGAGTGTACTCCTTTATTTGGAAAAGGGAAGTAACTCTACGAGAGATTTGCCTCACAGCCCTCTGTACCACGAGCGAGGTGCTCTCCGGTCGAGCAACAGCTACAGCCTCTACAACAGCAGGCACGAGATCCATTAAGGCTCTCCTGCGCTTCCATCCTTGCCCGCGAAGCCGAGAATCCGGCGACGCTCTATCTTCCGCAGACCGCGTGTCTATGATAAAGCCTTACTAAATCATCCAAAGCCCACATCCGCCCTCCCGCCTGCTTTGTACGGCTGAGGGAGGGAAGATGGCGGCGCGGGCGGGTTTCCAGTCTGTAGCTCCGAGCGGTGGCGGCAGTGGAGCCGGCCCTGGGGCGGGACCGCTAGGACCAGGGACGGCCGGGCCTCCCGTGCGGATGGGCCCGGCTCCCGGACAAGGAATGTACCGCTCCCCTCTGCCCGGCGCTGCATACCCGGTACCGGTCCGGCCCGGCTGAAAAAGGGGCGGTCCTTAATGTGGGGCGGAGCTCTAAGGCCAGGCGTGAGCGCGAGATGCTGCTCTGCTACTCAGGGGGCTGGTGGTGGTCGAGGGTGGGGGGGGGGAGGCGGCTCAGCTGCAGTGGGCGGGGCTCGGAGGGGAAGAGGAGGATGAGAGCCATTCCAGAAAGATGGAGGACGAGAGGCGGCTGCTGAAAGGAGGATCGGCGGCATAAAAAAAATACAAATAGTGGGACTATGGGGGTGAGGCTGCAAGGGCAGGGTGCGAGGAGAGAGGTAGGGGGGCTGTGGGCGTCGGGAGGAAGATTCTAGCTTTGTTGCTGGGCGGGAGAAAAGAAAAGAATGAGAGAATGGACCTAGAGGAGTGGGGGCGGGGAAGACATTGTGTGGCTCTGGGTTAATGGTGGACGAATACTCCTTGGTTTTGTTATTGCGTATTATTGCTTCCCATTCAAACATCAGAAATAATATATTGAGAAACAGGAGTAAAACTGCCTATCTCACCAAAGATCCAAATTCGAGAAAAAAAATAAATCAGAAGGTGATGGCAGATTGAATATTAGATGTTAGATTAGATAACCTTTATTGTCATTTTTTTACTGTGGGCACAACAGCACACATTAAAAATGAAATTTAGTTGCTTGCTCTCAAAGGGTAATAACACTTTTCCTGAATTATATACAGCTATGTGCTTCCCAAATAAGAAAGGGGATTTTATATTTTTTTTCCCATCAAGTATTACTTATTGGCAAGTGGGAATACTGGATCTTCTATGAGATGTTTTTAAAAAGAAAATTATTTCAGGATTCTTTTCAAAGGTGCAAGCAATTTCTGCTGCTGAATTGGTGCACTCGAAAAGCAGTGATGCGATTTGATTCTGTTGCAGTTGAGAACAAGAATCGGCAGTAGAGTTCTTAGGCACGGCAACAATCAGTTTGTTTATTTTCCTAGCGCCCTGGAATGTTGCCTGGTAGCCGCATGACTCCTCAAGGACCTGCAATGGGACCTCCAGGTTATGGCGGGAGCCCTTCTGTCCGACCTGGGATGGCTCAGTCAGGAATGGACCAGTCTCGCAAAAGGCCAGCTCCTCAGCAGATTCAGCAGGTTCAGCAACAATCAGTACAAAACCGGAATCACAAGTAAGATATTCCTCTTTTCTTTTATAGGCATCCTAGCATTCACCAGTGTAAATACTCTGTTTTAAGCCAGAAAGGTTTACGGTGGTACCTTGGTACTCAACTGATTTGGAACTCATAGAATTTGTTACTCAATGCATTTTGATGCAAAAAATTTATTTTTTGTTTGTTTGATACACAACTCACAAGCTAGCTGCCTTGTGACTCAATACTGGCTGCCTTGTGACTCAATACATTATTCCTTATGTGAAAAATGTGTGTGGTACCAAACGTTTTTGGTACTCATCGTGCCTCCCAGAACCAATTAATGATGAATACCAAAGTACCACTGTATCTCCTTTGAGATATCATGCTGTGTATTGATTTCTGCAAATAGTTCATTCAAAATTAGAGGATGCACCTCATAAAGACAACTTAAATGAGAAATGCAGTGTATAAAAAGAGAGGTTTCAGCTGCATCCATACTGACAGACATGTTTATGGAGTCTTCTGGCAACGCTCTTTTTATTAAGCTGAAGAAGCTAAAAACCAAATTTAATGAAATCTAAGTATCAATATATTGATATAATTCCTTTCCCTATTCATCCTGAACAATTCATCCATTCATACTGTAATTCCTCAGCATTTGGTTACGTATTTGCACAGAGCACTCTCTGTTTTTCATGTGGTTTGTACAGATGGACTGCATTGTGTTACTTATTTTGAGATCCAAAATAACAGAGTCATCTGTTAGTGTTTTCGGTCACTTGCAGATCTTGATGTGTTGAAGACATACGTTAAGCCTCTGCACCCTACAGATGTAGAATGATTTCCCCTATTAACATAAAATCCAAATTCTGCATTCTGCATTTCTTAAAAGAGTCTGTCCCACTGAAATCAGTGGAGCTTTTTTCTCAGTTGGTATGCTTAGGGTTACACTCTGGTTCCTAATATTGACTTCTTCAAGAAAGCTTTTCCCAATATGGCTAAAAAAAAAAAAAAACAATCCCAAATACATCTGTTTTCCTATGTTCCTAAAAACAATCTTAGTTTCAGTAGAATTTTTCTTCGATACAAAATCAATGATGTTCTTAAACATGTATCAAGAATTAAATTTATCATCCAATGTTTCTGTCTTTGTGCAGTGCCAAGAAAAAAAAGATGGCAGACAAAATTCTACCTCAGCGGGTAAGTGAAATGTTGGGTCTTGTTTGGCAGTTACCGGTAGCAACGGCTGTGCTGATTGACTTTGGCTGCATTGAATTCTAGATCCGGGAATTAGTACCCGAGTCTCAGGCATACATGGATTTGTTGGCATTTGAGAGGAAGTTGGATCAGACTATTATGCGGAAACGGTTGGATATTCAGGAGGCTTTGAAAAGGCCAATTAAGGTAAGGAGGAAGGGTGGATAAGTTTGAAACACACTTATCTGTAGCTTTCCTAAAAAAACTAAACCTACTGGCTACATTCGTACATCATCCTAGCACCATTGGCTAGATTTCAACATTGATTGAATGAACCACAATACTTGGCTTCATTATGAAATGTTCTGAATCTAAAAAGGATTCTAAATATGGCGCAACATACTTCCAGAATACTCCAAACAGTCCCATTTTAATACCCCAGCTGGGGATTGGAATGTTGCTTGACGGAATGTTTTACATATCCCTAGTTTACATAATATACCTAAGATATAATCTTACAGCTCACAAATGTGGATTCATCATACCAAGATCAACAAATCACATTATGAGTTACATGGTATGTGAACAAGGGGCACATGCATAGTGAAGGCAGAGTGGTGACAGTGATGGAGCCCTGCACTCCATTTATCCCAGGCCTTCAGTCTTTTAAAAAAGTATATAATCACAAGAAGCCAATAGTCATAGTGAGAAGTGCTGCAGGGGGAAAGTGGGAGTGAGAAGCTACTTTAACTATTATCCCATCTCCTGAGGCAGCTGTGGCCTCGATCAGCACCACTGCCACCACCACTACCTATACTCTGTTGGGGAAGGGATTCTCCGTGTTGACAGTGCTGAGAGGGTACCCATTCATTACTCAGGCTCTGGGCTCTGATAGCAGAAAGAAACATCTGGGAGATACTGCCTTCTTTTCTCCCACCCACTGCAGGGTCCCACTGAAGTAGTTTGTCTTATGGCCCAGGGAGCTTTATTATTCTACCAGTATGAAGTTTGCTGCTTTGGAGGCCCAATGATAGACATGTCAAGATTCTTCATTAATCTCCAGCATAATCTGTATCTGCAAAAATAGCAAGCTTTTTGTTTCATATTTTTGCTGATAGCAGTAATCAGTTAGGTTTCACAAAACAGGCAGAAAAATGTGTAGCAACTTTTAAGCTTCCTCTGACTAAGTTGCTTCTACTGAATAGGTTGTGGCTGCTACAAACACAAGGTGCATAGGTCTCTGATACTTTAATTTTACTAAACTATTTTCTGATGCATTCATAGCTTCTTTTCTATCAGTTTTCTGAATCACTTCCTCTCTTAGCCTTTTATTATCTAATATCCTTTTTCCTTACACCCTCCCCCAGTAGTTTTCTCTTATATCTGGGCAATTGGCAGCCTTAAGATCACCTGCAGCCCTTAGTTTTACCTCAAAAGACCTTTGGAAGCAATTACTTCAGACCTCTGACAAGAGTGAGCTATCCTTCTTCAACCTGCCTTGTGGGCAGTTAGGAAGCAAAGCAAAGCAAAAAGAAGGAATCACATGCATGTGTGTGTGCGCACACACAAACACACACATCCCTCTGGTTTGCAGCCCATCTGTTATTAGCATACGGTCCCTGACTGACGGCCTGCAAACACCTTCTTACTTTTGATCTGCAGAGTAGTGTCTTTAACTTCTTGGTTAAAGGTTAGTGATTTCTGTAATATCCTAGGCCAGGGGTAGGCATCCTCTGCTCTTTTATGACTTGTGGACTTCAACTCCCAGAATTCCTGAGCCAACTGGCTCAGGAATTCTGGGAGTTGAAGTCCACGAGTCATAAAAGAGCCAAGGTTGCCTACCCCTGGCCTAGGCATTGTTTCTCTAGAGCAGATATGTCAAACTCGTGACATCGCGTGACATATCAGAACTTTTTCCCCATTGCCGGCAATGGGGTGGGCACGGTTTCCTCATGACACGCCCGGCCTGCAGGCCGGCAGCTTGACACCTTGCTCTAGAGCTTCTTCCTGGACACTTTCATGTTGTAGAAATGCCTTAGATGTGTATCTTGCTCAGATGCAGAGATTTGTGAGAATAGAAATACTGCTGTTCGGGAGGGTGAGGGAATAATAGTAGCAATCTGAAATGTTGATTCTCGTTTTCACATCTGTGGGATTCTGTTCCTTTTTAGCAAAAAAGAAAACTGCGCATTTTTATCTCCAACACCTTTAATCCAGCCAAGTCAGATGCAGAAGATGGAGAAGGCACCGTAGCCTCATGGGAACTTCGAGTAGAAGGACGATTATTGGAAGATGTGAGTGAGGAATGGAATTAACACCACCACGTATCCCTGTACAGAGTTTAGAAATGTGGCAGAGCTGAATCATTCACTCCTGATGGTCTTGGAAGTAGATGAGATGGAGAGAGAGCAATACGGGCTTTCGTTTAGGCAAGAGTAAAAGCATGGCGAAAGAAGCATTTTTGCACAAATTGTCATA